CTTAGAAGATAACTCCTATGGACTCCCATTTTCTTGATCAAAAAAGTTTTACCCTGCAGCCACATGCCCCTTTAGCATCCCATCACCTCTCTCAAAATAGTCACTAGCTCTTTGCTCTCCTAAGGTTAGAACATTAATTATTCTTTGTTCCCTGTTGTTTCTCAATGGGTCTAAGAAAGCTTTCTGTAGTGTCATCATTTCCTTTTCACTTTCTAAACAGTAACAGTTCTTACACACAGCTTTACATCAAAACAAGAAATGTCATTTTCATTCACATTTACTGTGAGACTGGCTGGAATTCCTCCACTCTAAATCAGATTATCAAGAGGTTACCAGGGGACTAAAGAGGGGCAGTACTGAAAGTTATGCAGTTGTCAAAGTATCCAAATCAAAGCTTCATTGCAATTTTCAGTAACTAGTATGACAGCACAGGGCCTCTACATCCTTAAATTTCACATCTAGCCATCACACTTTTCCTTCTGCCTAACCATTTCATGGTTTAAAATGTGCTTTCTCTGGTCTGTCTGTTGTTTAGTATTGATGTATGCTGATAAATGACCACTTAGCATATTCTGCAGAGGACAGCATTTTAACAGTGGATGGAATTAACCCTGTTCTCTTGCGGAGTATTTAGAGACATAATTGATATACTTGTTACTTCCTTTTATTTTTGAGGCAGTGTATAACAGGTTTTAGTTTGTAAAAACAATTTTTACATTATCAAGGGAAAAAAAACAATTAGTATTATAAAATATTTACAAAAACATCAATATACTTTATACAAGAAAGTATATTGGCTATTGAGGGCAGAAGACAGTGGGATGACGAGCTGCCACTACAGCATCAATATTCATTAACCATAGAGTAGCTTTTTGATATTCATTCAAAACAAGTAAGAACACAGAAAGAGATAATGACTATCTAAGTGAAAGAAAAAGGCAGTAGGGTAAAGGAAATGAAAGAAGTAAAAGTCCCACTAGAGAAGTTTCATAGGCTTACACAGATGACAAAATGAGTGAACTGAGCTGTATCTTTTCTATAACTTGGAGCTGTGATTACTTGAAAAATTTTCAAGATGTCAACTGCTGGCAGAGGCGTCCTCCTTCTCAGTGCTAAGGAGGTCAGCTGTACCTTGTGAATGGGAAAATGGATTTTTGTGTAATGAAGCAAACACTGCATTCATCAACCATTTAAATCAAGTTTTCCATTCAAAACCTATTGATTTTGAAGCCTCTGTTAGCCAAAAGTGCACAAGCTCTTAAATGTTTTGAGAATCTTAAAGGGCAACATGGAAAAAGGTCGATAAAAAGTAATCCCTTTATGTGGTTTGTATTTTAAAAGCTCCTACAACAAAATTAATAATTTTTTTCCCCTTACTTTATATATTGGTTGGATGATTCATACTCAACATTATCTGCTAGAGACTTTGAGGAAACAAATGAACATATTATACATGACCTATTAAATTTCAGAGAGAAAGCCTTGAAAATGTGCAAAACCTTCCTGAAGTGCCTTTTCTGGTGCAAACCCTTCAGAACAAGAGATTATGTTCTCCCTATCACAGTCAAGGCTTTTGTATGAAAACTATCCAGAGCTCACTGGAACTCCCAAAGATTGAATCTTGGTATCCAGTCCCCCTTACAAAACAGGGTGCCCTCTCACCTCAGGCTTCCTGGCTTTCTTGTGGCCATTTCTTCAACATGAGATCCCAGCACCCCCAGACCCTAAAGCAGGATGGTCCAAGCCAGCCTCAGCACCATCCTGCTACCTCTGAGGACCCTACAATAACCATTGCATTGTAAGATATTTTAGAGTAAGCAGAGGTTCTGCTCCTCTGGATATAATTACAATTTCTCCCCGCGCTAGGTAAGAGAAATGGTGTATTCTTGTTTATCTATTTAAAATTACTAGTACTTACAAATGCTTTGTATTTCTATTAAATATACAGAATTTTAGAGGAAAAATGTTAAATTCTGGCAATGTAAGTAAGACACAAGGGAAGGAAATGCTCTGAAAGAAGGAAAAAAAATGGTGCCTGTTTCACTTACCATTTTCTCCAGCAGGAACTGTTACAGGATGTGTTGGCACAGTATCAGAATTCACTTTTCCATTCTCAAATGTATCATTCTCAGTTTGCTGCAACTGCCAGTTGAGGCCAAACAGATGCATTGCTGGTGGTAGAGGATACAGGTTATTTGATGCTCTTAACCACAATGACAAATTGCACAAATAATGGCTTTCCATGCTTCGCAGTGGAATAGCAACTCATACATTAAAAAATTAAATTACAGGAACAAGCATTCACAGCCTAATAGTTCAACTTAGCAATGGCACTAAGCAATTACTACCACTGTCCTTTAATGATACAGTACTTTCGATGAACACAGTTGACAGAAAGCTCACTAGTCTAATTTTGAGCCTTTTACTGCTCCCAAATCAATGTACAAAAGGATAGGCAGTAATTATGCTCTTTTCTGTTTTTTTTTTCATTTTGATCCTTCTGAAGAGATGAATCATTTAAGTGAGCTCCTAAATGACCTACTAAAAACAAATGATTTCCCAAGCAGATGGATCCCTCCTGGTTAGCCAGAAAGAGAAAAGAAAGAATGCAGGAGGAGAAGAAGGAGTGTGCTGTGGGTGTTGCAGGGCTAACCTAAGTCATGAACACTTCATGCTGTCAACAACATCCCGTGCAACCTCCAGTTATGTGCCCAGTCCCCAGACTAGTCTACAGAACGAGGCCGAGATCATGAGCAGAGCCAGAGTCACTGGGGCACTTTGCTCTGATGATAATGCATAAACTAGGCCTCTGATCTACTTAAATCCCCACAATCATGTTTATTAGAAAGGTGATACCATGTCAAAAGGTTTAGCAAAGTTAGGTGTGAAAGACAGTGCCAAACTTCCATGGTGCTAGGGGGAACTACTTAAGGAGCCTTGATATCACCAGGGACTAAGGAATGAACCTCATGTTTAAACTTTCAGAGAAAAAATACAGAAAAAAGATACCACCTTCATGCTATGCTGTTATACACATAACACATGCAATTTTGTGTTATCTGTGGATTATCTCCTTCTCTTCCAAAGTCTCTGTTATACCACAAAAATAAATTTATTCTATTTACTCTACTTTGCATTTCACATAACATGGATTTGCTCATTCCATGACAGCAGTTATCTGCGAAGCTAAAATAGTCTTTCAGTGCTACTAGGGAATAAAATACTTTGGAAAAAATAATCTGTAATCATGTATTTTAACTATTAGTGCAAAATATAAGGAAGATAATTCACTGCACTTTGTTGTTTCTGCTCCTTCTGTCTCTGTAGCAGATCAGTGCTATAGTAAATGCTGTTAATTTATGAATTCCTTCTATCCAAATGTTGAACAGTTCTTCATCCCTTTTGGTTTCATCTCTGATATTTCACTCGCTCTGTACTGACCATGGCAACCCTTACTTAAGACAAACAGACATCAATAGAAGTTTAGTCATGCACACAGCAAAAACTGCAGAATTAGACGCTATCTGCCAGGTCTTTGCCTTAAACCCTCCCCCTTAACCTGAACAAAACAAAAAACCAGAATGCAACTAAGGACCTATTACTGAATACTTTAAAGACTGAAATGCTCACTACAGATGACATAATTCTCTTTGTTCCAAGTCTCTGACTCCACTATTACTCTTCTTTCTCAGACCTTAAATTGCCTGTCAAAGCCTGATAATGTAGAATGTTCCTTGACCCTAAAACCTTGTTTCTTTTTTTCCTCTCTCATCTCTTGTTAAACCATAAATCTGACCACCACCATTTTTGGCACATCACTAGAATTAGCCATTATTATTTTGACCCTATCTCAACTGAAATCCTTATTTATGTATTAATCATCTGATGATTGTATCTGTTTTAATATATGTAATTAAAATCCCTAGGGTCAAACTCTGTGTTATAACAGTTCACTTCACTAGCAGCAATGGAAGACTGCAAATAGCTAAGTATTAATGATTTTAACCCAGTACATTTCTTGTATTCAGTCAGAAGGTCTAAATCACCTGTCCTAACTTTACTAACTTCTTATCCCTTTTATTACTTCAGGGAGAGAAAAAGAAATTACATCCACCTTGTGACTCTAGAAGTGCATCCCTTCCAAACACATCAGCTTAGAACATCATTAACAGCTGTGTCTCCTGGTGGTACATGACCTGTGCCTCTTCATGCTCCACTGAAGGGATAGCTCAGGCATGACCTTCTAACCATTTCCTCATAAATCAAAATAGCTGGAATTTGAAGTCTTCAAAGGCAAGAACTATAAGATCTATATTGATTACATCTCACAGAACCATAGTTACTACAAGGTAAGTGACAATTACCTTTTTTTGTGTTTGTACTGATGTGAGTCCCACTGTAGTATACTGTCAAAGCTAGTATTACTTGTATCCCTCAAAGATAGTATTGCTTTCTCAACTTTGACAATGAATTAGCAACAAATTCAATAAACAATGTCTAATAAAAATGAACAGATGGGTACATAGAGCTGTTTCACAGACTGTGAATGTAGGAATATTTTTGACGCAGAAAAAGAAATACTGCTTAACTATTCCAATGACAACTCAAAACTTACAGTGTATACTAATACACTAATTCAACTAGGCAATCTCTCTGAGACAGCACTATGGAATTTGGAGAATTCTCCTTTCACTACAAAGATATGAGAACAACAAGAAAGAAACAAGCTTCTCGATACAGTATCAAAATACAAAGCAGAATTTTGTTAGAGACAGGGAACTTTCAGAACGTGGGTAAACTGACTAAGACAAATTCAGGCACTATTTTGTCAGTCAAAATTGGTCTCCTCTCAGCCAGCCATGAATACAAAAGCAAACTTTAAGTCCTTACCAGTTTTATAAGGACAGCAAGGCACTTGATAAAAATTCTTGATGTCACCATGAATCTGGTAAGCAGCAACTGATACTGGTGACTGCACACTGAGAGCACACCTCAGTGGGGGTCTGAGACCTTCAAGTCAAATGTTACAGCCCAGTTCTGTTTTTCCAGAGGGAGAATGATGCAAGCAGACTGCAGCGAGGTGTATGTTTCTTTGATTTCCTCAGATCTAGAAAAGGATGAAGGCTTACTTCCACCTTTGGGATGGGGATGCAAGAGCTCAATCCCCTTCTCTGTTTTTATTATTTTCAGAGACCATCTATAAAGAATTTGATATATGAAGCAAAATTAAAGTAAAAACATATGAAGCAAAATACAGTTCTCTATTTCCAGTTGCTATTTTAGTCCCAAATCTAATGCACAGCATCTTCTTGATTTTTGGATTAGATATTGCCTATCAGGTCTGGTTTGCATTTCTTTGGTGCTAGACAATGACAAGTCAAGAGACCTTTCCTAGAGTCACTAGTTCTGAGTCTGTCAAATCTATGTGGATACCGACACTGGAACAACTTTCAATACTGACATAACTTTGAAGTCAGCAAGGATTTGTCTGAGAATGCCAGTTGCTTCTAACCAGAAGGCATGTAGATTGTGATGGTTGTGGTCATAGATCACAACAACTCAATCCAAATAACCCACAGCTGCAAGCATGGACGAATCCCACGGGTGAATCCTCAGGGCACGGGAGAAAAGACAGGTTGTCACAATTCCAAATGTGCCTACAAACCCTAACAAAAGTCTCATTTTACTTGCAAGACTGGGATGATTGCTCCCACTGTGAAGCAGGATGGTTTTTTAAGCAGAGGAACAGATGATGATATCTGGGACAAAGGAGTCCAAGAAGGCTGGATGTGCTTTAAAGAAGGAAATCTTTAAGGTGCAGGAGCAGGCCATCCTCATGTTCTGAAAGATGAGCTGTAAGGGAAGAAGACCAGCCTAGAAGAACAGAGAGCTTTGGGTGGAACTCAGGAGAGTTTATCACTTCTGGAAAAGGGGCAAGCAGCTCAGGAGGGCTACAAGGATGTTGTGACATCATGAAAGGAGAAAATGAGAAGGGCCAAACCCAGCTAGAGCTTAATCTGGCCACTGCTGTAAAAGACAATAAAAAGTGCTTCTATAAATACATCAGCAACAAAAGGAGGGCCAAGGGGAATCAAAGAATCAACCGGGATGGAAAAGACCTCAAAGATCATCAAGTCCAACCCTACCGTGGTTACTAGACCATGGCACTAAGTGCCACATCCAGTCTCATCTTGAAAGCCTCCATTCTTTGTTGGATATACATACTGCTGGAGGTTGAGGAAAAGGCTGCAGTACTTACTGCCTTCTTTGCCTCCGTGTTTAATAACCAGACCAGTTGTCATCAAGGTATCCAGCCCCTGGAGAAGGAAGACAGAGACAGGGAGCAGAATGAAGCCCTCATAATATATGAGGGAATGGTCAGCGACCTGCTATGCAACTCAGACATGCACAAGTCCATGGGGCTGGATGGGATTCACCCAAGAGTATTGAGGGAGCTGGCAGAGGAGCTCAACCAGCACAATCATTTGCCAGCAGTCTTGGTCAACCATGAAGGTCCCAGGTGACTGGAAGTTGGCTAATGTGATACCCATCTACAAGAAGGGCTGGAAGGAAGATCCAGGGAACTACAGGCCTGTCAGCCTGACCCCAGTGCTGGAAAAGGTCATGCAATAGATGATCTTGAGTGCCATCCTGCAACACGTGCAGGAAAACCAGAGGATCAGGCCCAGCCAGCATGGGTTTATGAAAGGCAGGTCCTGCTTGACCAACCTGATCTCCTTCTATGACTAAGTGACCTGCTTAGCGGATGACGGAAAGGCTGTGGATTTCTTCTACTGAGACATTAGTAAAGACTTTCACACCATTTCCCAAAGCATTCTCCTGGAAAAACTGGCTTCCCATGGTGTGAATGGGGGCACTCTTTGCTGGGTAAAAAACTGACCAGAGGGTCAGGCCCTGAGAGTGGTGGTGAATGGAATTACATCCAGCTGGTGATGGGTAATGAGCAATCTTCCCCAGGGCTCAATACGGGAGCCAACCCTCGGCAAGTTCGCTGATAACATCAAGTTGGATGGGAGTGCTGATCTGCACAAGGGTTGGAAGGCTCTGCAGAGGGATCTGGACAGACTCAATCAATGGGCCGAGGCCAACTGTATGAGGTTCAACAAGGCGAAGTGCCATGTCCAGCACTTGGGTCACAACAACCCCATTA